GGTTCACACCCAAACTGAGAGAGCTGAGGAGAGAGAAAGAAGCAGCCCACAGAGCCGAGGACAGAGAGAGCTACAAGGGCGCTAAGTACCAGTTCTCAAAAGAGTTGAAGAAGGCGAGATCTCGGTACAACAAGCGACTAAAGGAGCAGTTCTCTAACAATGACACCACCTCTGTCTGGAGAGGGCTCAGGCAAATCACTAACTACAAGCCTAGAGCCCAACATGCTGCTGACGACCTACAACTAGCTGAACAACTTAACTCCTTTTATGCAAGGTTTGAAATGCAACACCCATCCCCCACACCCCCTACTGCACAGGCTTCTTCAGCCACTCTGGTGTCACATGCCTCCCCCACCACCTTCACCACTGTGAATAGTACAGTCCCCGCTGACCACCCCTCCCCCTCCACTGCCTTCTCAGTGACAGAAGAGGATGTGCTCAGGGTTTTCCGTAAGCAAAACACACGGAAATTCCCGGGCCCGGACGGTGTCTCCCCCGCAACCCTGATACACTGCGCAGAGGAACTGTCTCAAATCTTCACGGACATCTTTACCATCTCCTTGGAGTCCTGCCACGTTCCAGCCTGCTTTAAGCTGTCCACCATTGTCCCTGTCCCTAAGAAACCCCGTATCACTGGACTGAATGATTACAGGCCTGTGGCGCTGACGTCTGTAGTCATGAAGTCTTTTGAGCGCCTGGTCCTCCCTTATCTCAAGTCCTTCACCTCCCCCCTCCTGGACCCTCTGCAGTTCGCATACAGAGCCAACAGGTCTGTAGACGACGCCATCAACCTGGCCCTCCACTTCATCCTGCAGCACCTGGATTCCCCGGGAACCTACGCTAGGATCCTGTTTGTGGACTTCAGCTCTGCGTTCAACTCCATCCTCCTGCTCTGCTCCAGGACAAGCTCTCCATGCTCAATGTACCCAATTCCACCTGCAGGTGGATCACTGACTTCCTGACGGACCGAAGGCAGTGCGTGCGGCTGGGGAAGAATGTTTCCACCGCTAAGACTATTAGCACAGGATCCCCACAGGGCTGTGTACTTTCTCCTCTGCTCTTCTCCCTGTACACAAACTGCTGCACCTCGAGCCATGACTCCCTTAAACTGATCAAGTTTGCGGACGACACCACCCTCATCGGGCTCATCTCTGACGGTGATGAGTCCGCCTACAGGAGGGAGGTGGAACGGCTGGTGTACTGGTGCAGCAGCAACAACCTGGAGCTCAATGCTCAGAAGACAGTGGAGATGATTGTGGACTTCAGGAAAGTCACAGCCCCATCTCTCCCCCTCGTCCTGACGGACACCCCCGTCACCACTGTGGACTCCTTCCGCTTCCTCGGAACCACCATCACACATGACCTTAGGTGGGAGCCATCCATCAGCTCCCTGATCAAAAAGGCCCAGCAGAGGATGTACTTTCTGCAGCAGTTGAAAAAGGCCAAGCTGCCGGCCCAGGTGATGGTGCAGTTTTACACGGCCATCATTGAGTCCATCCTCACCTCCTCCATCGCTGTGTGGTACGCTGGAGCCACGGTGAGGGACAAACATAGACTGCAGCGCATTGTGCGCTCTGCTGAGAAGGTGATTGGCTGCAGCCTTCCATCTCTCCAGGACCTGTACGTCTCCAGAACTCGGGGGCGTGCAGGCCGGATAGCAGCTGACCCTTCTCACCCGGGTCACAGACTTTTTGAGCCGCTTCCCTCAGGCAGGAGGTTACGATCCATCCGGACCAGAACCTCCCGCCATAAGAACAGCTTCTTTCCATCTGCCATTAGACTTGTGAACAGCTTATAAACACACAACCATGCTCGTCTTCGGTACTCGACACAACGTCACGTTATCGGCCATGTTACCATTACCTGCCATTTTTATAGCTGAAAGTTTTATTCTAGTTTTTTTATTATATTTATTCTATTTTATTCTATTGTTAATCTTATTATTCATGTTATATGTAGCACATTAGTACCGAAGCAAGTTCCTAGTTTGTGAATTGTTTGTTCACTGACAATGGCAACAAACCTATTCTGATTCTGATTCTGATCTGAGGAGATTCATCAGGAACTACAGCAAGATAGCGGCTCCTCTCCATGTCCTCACCTCCAACATGGTCAGGTTCAGTTGGAATGACCAGGCAGACAAAGCTTTCACTATGTTTAAAGGACTCTTCACCATTGCCCCGGTGCTTCACTTCCCAGACCCAAATCGTCAATTCGTTGTGGAGGTGGATGCCTCGGATAGTGGTGTGGGGACGGTCCTCAGTCAAAGGTACGAAGACAATAAAGTTCACCCCTGTGCCTTTTTTTTCCAGAGGTTTATCATCAGCTAAAAGGAACTATATGACATTGGGGATCGGGAACTTTTCGCTGTCAAGCTTGCCCTCAAGGAATGGAGACACTGGTTGGAGGGGACTAAGGCACCTTTCCTTGTTTGGACAGATCACAAGAACCTAGAGTCTCTCAAGTCAGCCAAGAGACTGAACCCCCGTCAGGCCAGGTGGGCTCTGTTTTTTTCTCATTTTAACTTTGTCCTTTCCTACAGGCTTGGGTCTAAAAACGTTAAACCAGGTGCCCTCTCTTGCATCACTGAAACCACTCCCCAAGACCCGTCTCATGAACAGGAAACACTACATCCTGCCTGAAACAGTTCGCCTGGCTTTTTCTAGACTGGATTTGGAGGCTAAAATCCTTAACACCCGTTCTCAGCATCCAGTTCCTCCCCGCTGCCCACCTGCTCGTCTATTAGTTCCAGACCACCTACGGTCAGAGGTACAAACATTCTGCCATAACTCACGTCTGTTTTATCACCCTGGTTGTAGTGAGACTCTGGCTGTGGTTCGGGACCGGTTCTGGTGGCCCACTCTAACAAAAGACACTAAGGAGTTTGTATCCACCTGTCGTGTGTGCAACCAGTCCAAATCCTCCCATCACCCACCTGCTGGACTGCTGCGTCCTTTACCCAGTCCTCGTAGACCATGGTCCCACCTCAGCATGGATTTTATCACAGGCCACCCTGTCTTGGAATCCAACACTGTCATCATCACCATTGTGGACTGTTTCTCCAAGATGGTACACCTGGTCCCCCTCAAAAAGCTCCCATCTGCCAAGGAACTGGCTGTTATCGTGGCCCGACAGTATAATCAATCACATATAATATTATAGTACCATCAACATGTACAGATACTTTATCATACTTTCTCACCAGCCTGTAACTCTACTTTTATCTCTAAATACACCAGACTGATGCTTTTCAATAATGTCCAACATTTTCTATTGGGGGGGGGGGGGGGGGGGGGGGTCATGTCTCTGGACCCCCCCTAGAGTAGTTTAATAATCATCATCTTTTTCATGTCTGCTCTTTGGTGCTGGGGCACACCTCGTGGTGGAATAAGATCTAGATTAGTCAGACGGATGGACAACTCAGAGAAATCTCAACACCCACACTTTAAAAAAGCTTGCTACGCCCCTGTTCAAGACTCAAGACTGGAGCAACAACAACTTGTTGCTGCCGCATTTCCAACATTTTCGGCTATCTTGTTTGTGGTGTGAGCGGATGTAAACAACTGGATGAGAGGTAAACATTTCACTTGCTGGTTTTTCTAGTAAAATAATAAATAAAAATTGCCATCCTATAGAAGAAGTGTAGCAGGAGAAGTTGTGTGTCAGTGCGCCTGCATCAGCTTGCCGGTATGTGTGTGTGTGTGTGTGTGTGTGTGTGTGTGTGTGTGTGTGAGTGTGTGTGTGTGTGAGTGTGTGTCTCGGTTGAAGGAAAGAAACAATGTTTTTAAAAAAGTACACCATCTGTACCAGAATGAAAATACTCCAGAAGGGGATGTTTGATCGCTTTACAGCTGCGATCCAAGCGAGCGACAAGACTTTGAGTGCTTCTCAATGTCAAGGCGCCTGGCCTTGTGAGTCGATGTCTTGCGAGGCTAGGTGCCTTGCTTATGAGGACACGGTCCTTCCTTGGTCAAAGAAAACGGTTAAATGGAACAGACTTGCATGACGTGACCGCGGCTTCAACGGCGTTCACGTAACATCACGTGACACGGGAGATAACCTTATATTTTATACATATTTGTTTCAATATAAATATATAAAGAGGTTTTTACTTTTTAAATTGTGTATATGTTTGTTAAATTAAATATGTAAGCGATATACTACCCGCTAGCTGCCGAAGCTACAACTACTAAGCAACGAATAATAATAATAATAAATTTTATTTGAGGGCGCCTTTCTCAAACCCAAGGTCAACTTACAATTAAACAAAGATCTTAAAAAAAACATTTTAAATTAATTGACTTACCTTTAAACTTGAAATTTACCCCCGTAGTAGCTGCCGGCTTCTGATCCACCATCCTTTTGAAAATATTGCGGTGTATTCTGGGTAATTTTTGACCAAAGCTAGGCAACAAGACTGCTCAGCTAGCTAAACAGCTACAAACGGAGAACAGACGCCTCTGTAGAACATGAACATTAAAACATGTCTTGGCGGCTCCTGATGGCTTATCTCCTAGGCAACCGGGGCGGGGCCAAGACATCAAGGCGATGTTCCTTGGCATTGAAAAACACCCTTTAAGTTAGATACTTAGACTAGTGGCTGTGCCTCCAAGCAGGAAAATGCTGAAAAGCTTTCCACCTTTATTCTCCAGGCGATCACATGTTGCACCCCACAACACCATAACGATTTACCATTACCAATCAAATCAATGATAGTTTAATTTAAGCTGCAGGAACAAGACGAAGCGCGCTGTTTACAGTAGTCATAAGCAAAGACTCCTTGGCCACCAACAGGGCGGCTGCGTTGGTGGTGACAACGCAATCACGAGCCTATAGGGAGCCTAAGTCACTTCCGCATCATGGGTCACTGGAAGAACGAAAAAATGAATGCAAGTCAATGGGACAGGGACTAAAAACGTTATTTTCTAATTCCACGTGTTTTGTGCCATGGATTTCACACATGATCTCCGCGAATTTTAAAGACACATTTTGACACACAGTTATTTGAAATAAATTCACATTTATTGCTGCTTTGTCTAAAAGTTTTAGAGCATCAACTAATCATCCTAAAATGAACAAATTTTATTAGAAAATACATATTTTCAGAAAAGGAACTTGAGCCTTTTCTCCTGCAGCAATGACTTGTGGGTAACACCCTTCCCTGTGGACTTGGGTGTCAGGGTGAAGTGCAGATGGGTGCAATGGGGGCGTGGTCAACTTCAGAAACGGGACACCATACGCACTTGCACCCCTGGCCCGGAACCCAACGGTGCAAGTGCGAGAATTGGCCTTAGTATATTTCATACCCAGGTAAGGCACACGATTGTCCAATGTACTCTGTTTTAATAAGATAACTTAAATGCTTGCGAACCAGCGGACATAAATCAGTCCAGCTTGTGATAAATGCAACAAGATTTGTTATGAATTCACTTTTTACATTTTTCGTGTTTTTAATAAAAAACTGAAAATAATGTATTTAGCAAAAGAGGACAGAATGGTTATCCTAGTAGCTAAGTTCATAATTTCTTTACAAAACTCCCCAAACAGCTGTTCTGGTGGCAGGAGGACAGAAAACGGTTTGCTGCTACATCAAACAGCCAATCGTAGGAGAGCCCCTCTAGCCAATCAGAGGCAAGAAAGGCGGGATCTTCCTTGGACATCCTACGATTCCAAATGACGTGACAAGCCGAAGCAAGCGGTTTGTTTTGATGAAATGAGAGTGTAACTTTTCGACGACCTCACTAGGTCACCAAAGAGGTATGCCATGTTTCCATTCTGATCAGAAGTTATTGAGTCGAATCTGTGAATAGCTTTCCAACTTCAGCTAGTGAGGTCTGCGCTTGCGCGAGTAGAAAGCTCTCCAATATGGCTGCTGCTCTTCCTGTGAAGGAGAAAAGTACATCAGTGTTTAGAAGAGGACTGTAACTGGTACGGATATGAGCAGAGAACCCAGGGTGAGTCTTTACCTTCAGCAGAAGTTTGGCGTCAGCCTCTTCTGTTTGTTGACTGGGAGGTGTTAGCCACAACGGCAGAGCCCGGTCCGGGTCCCGGTTCAGCTGCGGTGGACGGCGGTAGGAGAGGCTTGTCTCTAAGATGTTGACTGGATGTTTTTCTAACGAAAGTTTACAGCCGATTGATGGGGTTTGATTTCATGACAGCAAACGCCATGCTGTCTCTTCTGGAGCATGGACCACACACGTAGCAGTCTTTGTGAGTTAGTAAAGCACAAATATGGAAGAATTAAGCTGACAAAAAGCAAGAGCTTACATTTGACAGCGGGATTTAAAATGTCTGCTCTGTGTCAGATATTCCCTGTTCCCCCTCAGATCTTTGCTTCTGCGTCCGGGTTTGACATCCTTTCTTCACACGTGAAAACTGCACGGATCAAGACTGTTCTCAACTCCGTCCCTTCTGCTCAAACCTCGGGAGTATCATCTCCTAGCAACCACTTGACCAATGGTCTTTGTCAGATGACGTTTCAGGTGCTGACGCGCATTGCATGATGGGATAGCTGGTGTGTTGTGTATGGGAATGCACCGATACTGAGTCCCAATCTGATACTTTCGATACATGAAAAAGAATAAAGAAGCGAGGAAACAGATCCAGAATGTTCCTTATTTTTGATTTAATAGGACTTGTGATGGTGCCGTCATCACCGACGCAGTCGTTGGAGGCGTGAGTCCTTGCTTGTTGCTACGGTAAACAGCGCTCAGTCTCGTTTTTGCACCTTAAATTAATCTATTATTCAGTTGATCTGTTATATTACACAACTCTAGTAAATCATTGCTGCGTTGTGGGCTAACACACGTGATCACCAGGAGAATGAAGGTGGAAAACAAGCTAACTTTTCACCGTTTAGAGGCAAAACCAGGAGAACAAGCATCTAGCTTAACAAAGTCTCGTTGGCTCACTTGGATCGCTGCCGTAAGCCAACCAAACATCACCTTCTGCAATATTTTCATTCTAGTAAGTTACAGATGTTGTATATTTTTATACGTCGTTTCTTTCCTTCGACCGTGACACACACACACACACACACCGGTGAACTAATGCAGGCGCGCTGACACCCAACACAACTTCTCCTGCTACACTTATTCTGTAGCATGACAATTTTGATTGTTTTACTAGATAAACCAAAACGTTTACCTCTCTCCCGGACGTTTACATCCGCTCACCACAAACGAAAGCTGAAAATGTCCGTTATGCAGAACTGCAGTGACAACGATACGTCATCGGTGCTCCGGTCTTGGGTCTTTCATGTGGATCAAAACCATTTATCACTTATTGTGTCCACATGCCGGTCCCCGTGTCCTTATATAACGTATCCCTGTATATTCCACATCCTTTTGGGATTTTATAACGTGGTTTAACACTTTCTTTCACCCAAATCTGCTTCTTTTCTGCAACAGTGCTGTTTGTTTCACGGTTTGTTTACGCTCGTCAAGCTTCCAACATGGGCGCACACATCCCAGAATGCTATGCGTAATCACGTGTGATCACAATGCCCTATTGACTTAATTTTAACATGTAACAACTCTCTTAAAAGGAACCCAGGTTACAAAATCTTGTGGTTCTTAAAAGATAAATGTTAGTGTCATTTATGTTAAAATGGTCTTCATTTAAATAAAATTAGTTAAAAATAGTTTAACTCGTAGGTCGCCATTGTTGTTAGCGCCGCAATGCACTCTGGGTAGTGACGTCATATGGTTGTACCTCGGTTGCACCAGCCGGCTTTGGGACCCTGTAGGGACTGTTCAGCGGCATCAACATGTCATCTGTTCAGCCTTTTCACTTTGAACCAGAGTGAAACGTTAATGATGACATCACTGAGCATGTTTCACAAAACCAGCATCAACATGAAGAGCAGGAAGGGCGGGATGAAGCGAGAGCAGGACAAAACCAGGACAAAACCGGTGGTGCGTGCGTGGCAAATGCGTCTCCATGGTAACCGAGAGGGAGAGTGCTCACATTTTTGTCAGCAGAAGTTAACGGTAAATATCGTGTGATCGAACTTATTCATTGATGAATGATTTAGGAGAATTTTAGCATCCAGAGCTGTCGTGTGCTTCATAGATAATCAGGATATTCAGTGAAACCACTTTAATCATTGTTGCAGATATATGTGGACAACACTGTGTTGCTACACTTCCTGCTTGTTTTACTGACAGGAGAGGTGAACGTTAAGCTTCATCCGTGACGAGTGGCGTGTCCGATGGTTCGCTGAACGTGACAGAAGCGGCAGCTGCAGGAGCGGGTTGTCGGCTCAGGACAGCGTCTCTCGTCTCTCTGAGGGCGTTTAGGCTCCTTGTGTGGGAAAATTATCGGTAAAGCATTTAGTTTCTGCCTTCTCTTATACCCAGCCGCTCTGGTGAGCTCTTGAAGTAGTCGTGGTCGACTATGAGCCTCAAACGCTTCAGGAGAAAAATGCTGGGAAAACAGCCGCGGACCTCCGTCCAAAGGCATCTTCCCGCTGCTTTCTCCTCTTGTTGCCAGTGGGAAAGCTGTAAACTCACATCACTCCCCTTGTTGCCCTCTGACTGGAAATTACATCCAAAAGCAGCACAATGTGGCATTTTACTTCATTATTAATACGGTGAGCGCGTAAACAAACACTAGCGTCAATAGCTATTCCTCCAAGTACAACCAATATACGTCATTGCCCCCAGAGTGCATTGGTGCGGAAAACATGGCGTCCTACGTATGTCAGAAACATACTAAATATTATAGATTTATAAACAGGGTGTCCGCGGGGTTTTAACAAGTATTAAAAAGTGATAAATAAAAATAGTCAAATTTAAGGCCATTAAAAGTGTTAAATTTGGTCTCAGAGGTATTATTTTTTCCAAATTAGGTATTATTTTTTTCAGACTATCAGATGTCGTATTCTGAACATCGACATAGAAATATATTGCGAATGAAATGTTTTGAACGATTATAAAAACAAAACAAGCCGATTATTTGCTCCGCCCACTTGCGCTGCCCTGAGTAGCAAATGAAGCGCTCCTCCACAGTGTTGCCAACTTGGCGACTTTGACGCTATTTCTAGCAGCTTCTCAGACCCCCTTCTTGACTTTTTAAATCTTAAAAGTACCTAGCGAACACCTCAGAAACATCTCTGGTAACCCTTAGCTACTTTCTGGATAACTGTCGTCGACATTTCCTGCAGGTTAGCTAAACACTCCGCCTGCGCTCCTGACCGTTCTTCAGGACATTAGGAAAGGGAATGATGTAGTGATGTGTCGGTCGCTAAAGAAACAGCTCTCGGAGCCGGCTCCTTGTTGGATTAACCAGAGTGAGTGACACACACACCGCACCTGCGGACTCCTGAGCCGCTAAAAACGGCTAAATGTGCGCGTGCGGCATGCTAAACACATGTGCAGCTTGCCCGATTGCTGTGAGACCGGGTTGGGGGGTGGGGGGTGCAGCTGTGGTTGGGACAATTATTACATTAACTGATGGACCTGTAAATAAATAGTTTATAAATAAGGTAGAAATAAGTTCCTCACGCTGATAAATAATAACTAATCTCTCTGAGGACACGGTGCTAGTGCACGCTCCTACAGCAGCTTGACATGACTAAATAAATGTTACGCAACATTTTGTGAACATCAATTTATTTGCATGTATTTGTTATAAATGCCACTGTATAATTCTTGCTGTCAGTATTTGCAAGATATTGGTATTTGGGTCTGTGCTGGTTAGACTTAAATGAGTTAAACCAAGGTCTATAGCCCTTGGGTCATAGACTATGAGCTATAAGTATATTGGTCCTTTTATCCTGGGAACCAGGAGTTATTTTAGTGATCATCTTGTTTCTTGTTTATTTTTGCCCTGATTGTGCCCTGAGCAGTTTTATGACTGAATAAAAATAAATAAATAAAAATCTACATAAATTGAAACATCGTCTTAAATAATCGAGATCTCAATTTCAGTCACAATAATTGTGATTATTGTTTTTGCCATAATCGAGCAGCCCTACTTTAGCATATCCGGTCACATAATGATGACGTCATATTCAGTGGTCGTTGTGCATCATTTCAGGCCTCGTGGTCAACTGTCTGAACCGCTGAACAGAAGTGCCTGGCTTATTTTCTAAGTAAAATAAATATGTGCAATACGTTGTCAACATCAGTGAGTCTCTAAGTCTATTCTTTTTGTATGTTATATATGTTAAAATATGTGTAAATAGGTCGCTGATTAACACTTGCAATTTAGTGTTGTGATGGTTTTAAAAAAATTCTGAAGGTAGTAAAAAAAAGTATTAAAAGGTAGTAAATTTTACTTAAGGATTGCTGTATATACCCTGATAAATAAACACCAATATTTTGTGTGTTTGTTACAACATAGTTTGGTACAACAGAAAACATGTGGCTTATTAGGGCACACACGTCCTCATGGCCGGAGTTCCTTTTAACAAACGGGTCACTTCTGTGAGGTAGCTTGAACAATCAAGTAATGTTTATGTGTTTATGTTTATGTATTTAGCAGACACTTTTGTCCAAAGCGACTTACAAGTTTACAAGATAAGTAATGAATAACACAAATTCTTCACTTTTGAACTTTATTGCAAATATAAAACAAACAGCACGTCAACTGGCAGGGGTCTATTTTGCCCCGGCCCCCAAAAGCCTTGATACGTCCCTGGATGTGGGGCTGAGCTTTGAGGGTGATCTGAATGATATCAAATACATAATTATTACATGCTAATAAATGATTGCTTTATAAAGGTACAAACGTGTAGTGGATAAATCTTCCTACATTTCATTTTTCAAGAACTTGGCCTTTATTTTCCTGTCGAGCCTGTCTCTGACCTTCCTGCTTCTCCTCTCAGTCCTCCACCAACTGCTTTCTGCTTCCTCCTGTTTCACGTCATGACTTACTTAGTAGATCAAATGGATCTGCTGACCTCAAAAACAGCGGCGTGCGCTGTCCGTCTGCACCAGTGACGCATCGGACCACGGGAGATGAGCGTCAGCGGCAGAGCGCGTCGGTATGCATCAGGCGTGAATAAAAGACATAAAAGACCATGTAGAACATGAACGATCATGTGTGAATTATAAATGTTTTGGGTGTCCCACTTTGAAAATGTTGCTGTGGCTGTGTGCAGGATGCAGCTGCCTGGAGCGCATGAATAGTCAGCACTGCCGCTCTCTGCGTCCGAGCTCAACAGAATCCCCGCTGCGCCAAGTCCGTGTAAATAACATAATATCGGTGAAGACTGGATCTGTTTTCAGGCTGCTTCTAAGTGTGTCCTTCAGGGGACACGTCATCTTTTCAGGAGAACCAGGACCAGGTTCCCCTTAGCTCAATAGTAATTTGTACCCTTGTAACCATACTTTTACTTTGGTTACTTTGGTAACTTTGGTGGTTACTTTTAATACATTATCAATAGATTATAAAGGTATCCAATAAAATGTAATAATCCATAAAAATATGGATTATCAATACTATTGATCCTTTAATATTGGATAGATGATGAAACTTGGTACTTTGGTTAATCCAGGGAAACACTTTATGATAATTTGACTCAGAGACAAAAAATATAGTTTATAAAAATCTATTTATTACTATATTAATGATGATGAAAGGCTAATGATTATAAATGGTGGTACAGTGATGTTAAATGAGACAATGAATGAACTCTGATGAAATATGGCCTGGTGTGTTTGAGTTTTCTAAATGACTCAGAAAGGTGTCATCCATCCGTCCATCCATCCATCCATCCATCCATCCATCCATCCATCCATCCATCCATCCGTCCATCCATCCATCCGTCCATCCGTCCATCCATCCATCCATTTCCGTCCACATCCATCCATCCATCCATATCCATCCATCCATCCATATCCATCCATATCCATCCATCCATCCATATCCATCCATCCATCCATCCATCCATCCATCCATCCATCCATTTCTGTCCACATCCATCCATCCATCCATCCATCCATCCATCCATCCATCCATCCATCCATTTCCGTCCACTTATCCGGAGTCAGGTCGTGGGGGCAGTAGGCTAAGTTGAGAGGCCCAGACTTCCCTCTCCCCAGCCACTTGGGCCAGCTCCTCCGGGGGAATCCTCAGGCGTTCCCTGGCCAGGTGAGAGACATAGTCCCTCCACCGTGTCCTGGGTCTACCTTTAGGTCTCCTCCTGGTTGGACCCGGTAAACCTCACCAGGGAGGCGTCCAGGAGGCATCCTGACCAGATGTCTGAGCCACCTCAACTGGCTCCGCTCGATGTGGAGGAGCAGCGGGTCTACTCCAAGCCCCTCCCGGATGACTGAGCTTCTCACCCTATCTCTAAGGGAGAGCCCAGCCACTCTGCTGAGAAAACTCATTTCGGCCGCTTGTATCTGCAATCTCGTTCTTTTGGTCACTACTAGGGTTGTCACGGTAGCCGGTGTAGCGGTAAACCCCGGTAAAAAAGTTGACAATAATAAAAACCGTCTTGTTTTTAAAAAAA